CACTCCTTGCTCAGACAGCCATGAGGCCCTTCCCCTCACCTTTTTAAGTCTTCAGGAAGGTCACCCTGACCACTTCATTTAAATTGTCCTCCTGATCCCTTCGGTCCCAGATCTTGTTTCTCTTGCTCGTTGTCCTTCTGTCTCGACGAGGTTATGAGCTCCATGAGGGCAGAGAGGCTCGTGTGCTTTCTTCCCTGCTGAGGCCAGCACCAGCAGCGGCCTGCTACTCCACCAGCACTGAGCCATCACGCATCTGAGTTGTTTTGTCTTTTTCCTCAACGGCTGGTAAGCATGTTCCCTCCGGAGCCGGATAGTAAGTATTCTTGGTGGCGTGTGTCCCGCTCTGTTGCAATTACCCAGTCTGCGGCTGAAAAGCAAAGCCGTCAGTGGCAACACGGAGAGGAATGGGCGTGGCTGCGTGCCAATAAAACTTTATTTACAAAAGCAGGCAGCGGGCCGGAATTGGCTGTGGGCTACCATTTGCAGACCCCTGGCTTATCTAGTGAACCAAGCCTGACTCCCTCTCTCCAGAGCCCTCTCCCATCCTGGGCAGGTGCAGGGCACTCATGCACCCTCCGTGTCTGTGCCATCCAGAAACTTCCAAGGCCAGCCGGGCATCTGAAGCCTCTTGAGTCCCCAGGGAGGGGCCGGTTAGGAATGGTTCCTCCACTTTGCAAATGGCAAAGGTGAGGTTCAGCAAGGTCAGGGGCTCACAGGGCCCACAGCTGAGAGGCGAGAAGCCCTGACCCCCTCCCCTCCCTTCTTTACCTGCCCTTCCTGCCCACCTGTGCCCACTGATGCTCCCCAAACACCTGCCCTTTCCTGCCCTGGAATTCCACCCGAGTCCAAATCCCCAGATGTGCTCCCAGGAACGTGGAGGAGGGAAGACATCTTCGTGGAAGGAATGGGTGGGTCACTTTGGGAAGCAATTCCGCCTTTCCTAGTGGAGCTGAGGCTGCACATCCCGTGACCGGGCGGTTCTGCCCCAAAACCCTCGCCCACACTCCCACGGAGAGGATCCCTGCAGCAGCATCCACGGCAAGCGTGCAAACACCCCGCGCGTCCATCCAGAGCACGGTGCCGTGGGCACACGGTTACGGACGGTGGGGCCGTGAACGTGAACGGACCGGGGGACGCGCATGCCAGCACGGCTGACCCACACTGACACGGGAGGAGCCTGGGGTCCCCGTGCAGGGGGAGCGGTGGGGGGGACCCTGGGACGGAAAGCGGAGCCAAGCCTGAGAGCCAGGTGGCGAACCGGTGTGAACTTCTTACAACTTCTTACTGTGGACGGGGGCGGCCATTATGAGGGATTAGCCCCAGGGGCAGCCGGCGGGGGCAGGGTGTTCGGGACCAACCCAGCTCCCTCTGCGTCCCCACCCCCACCGCTGGCCCTCCAGCCCCCACCCTGGCACCCCGTCCCCTCCACCCTCACGCTGGGCTTCGCCTGCCCCCGGTCCCTTGTACGTGCTCTCCCAACCCGGCCTTGATCCTCGCTGCTGGACATGAGGCGGGACCACACCCCAAAGGGCTGAGCAGGAAGGGGAGAGGGGCACAGGTAGGGGTGTGGCCACTGGGCTCCGCCCCAAGAAGTTGGGAGAGGGTCACAGCCATGCAGAGGGTGTGGGGAAGCAGAGGGCCTTTCGAAACCCTGTTCTCACTCTTCCCAACCTGAGAAATGCAGAAGATCAGAAAAAATTAAAAACAAATGAGAAAAATAACCAGACCCCACCCACCCTCATCACCCTGAGTTTCCCTCCATTTCCTGGAAGAGGAACAAGCAGGTGCAAATGGGTGCTCTGACCAAGGACTTGGTGGGAGTGGTGTGCGTGCTTCCAGGTTTCAGGGTGAGGTCACCTCCCCGCCCCTGGGGCAGTAGGCAGATCGGGCTCCCGCACCCTCTTCCTGAGCGAGAACCCCAGCTCCACGGGAACCTCAGTTCCACGGGAACCTCAGTTCCAGCATCTGTCCCACGTGGGATGGGGGCCTCCTCATTTCTGGTTCCTTCCTGGTGTCAGAACCCAGAACTCTCAGTCTCTCCATTCCTGCCTCGTGGGAATATCCCTTCCTTTCTTGCGCCCCCAGCTCTGCTCCTACAGGATGTTACCATTCACGGGATTCCGAACACCCCGTCGTCAGGGCTGGGTGCTCGTTTCTGCTTCCATTTGGCCGAAAGCAGACCACGTTCAGATGACGACGTTCGTTCACCGTTCACTGTCCCCTCATGAGGTCGGTGCCATATTTGCCCTCGTATTGATAGACAGGGAAACTGAGGAACGGGGAGGTGGGTAATTCATCTCCAAGTCCACAGCTAGCAGAGGTACAAAGGCCAGAACTCGAATCCAGCTGTCTAACTCCAGAGTCCAGGACTTCTCCACGGGGCTCACTGCTCCCAATGGCCCCAGGTGTTGCCAGCGAAGGTTGTCAAATAAAATAAAGGACACAGTGAGGTGTGGCCGTGTCACCGTGGGAGAGAAGAGGGAAAGCCCGTCTCACAGCATCTAGGAAGAAAGGAGTAGCACACGCTTTCTCCAATTCTCCATCCAGTGCAATTATTTGGGGCATACTGAAAGTTATTCGTCGTGTATCTGAATTCAAATTTAACAGGATATCCTGTATTTTTACTTGCTAAATCGGGCAACCATGCTGTCAGCTGATGTTGGGGGCTACAGGGCTGCCCTCCCGATAAGCTCTCCCAGACATCGGGAGACCTGGCGGCTAAGCTCTCTCCGTCCGTCTGATTGAGGGGTTGCGTCTCGTCCCCCCAGAGAGGTCCGCAGGCTGTCGCTGCTGCTCAACTTGAACTTAAGCATCTCCCGGTAGCGGTGAAGGCTCCTGCTCATCGCTGTGGTCCCGAGAGGGCAGGATCTCAAGGTCACCTTCATCCAAGGGTCCCCCGGAAGACCGGAGGCACACGCCTCCCAGCCCCGTGAGGAGAAGGAGCCAGGGTAGGGTAGGGAGCGTGGTGAGCCTCCAATCTGGGCACTTGCCTGCTTTGCCCAGGTTACTCACACCACCAAACCCAGGGCGATGTGGGGGGAGCGCTCACTGGGACGACCTTCCTGAGGGCAATTTCTCAATTCACGTCCAAATGTCAAAGCGTATCCCCTTTGACTCAGCATTTCTACTTCTGGGAACTTAGGCGAAGGAAATGTTCCAACCGGGTACAAAGATGATGGCTCAGGAGTGTTCATCCCGGCGTGGGCTGTAATACCTGGAAACATGCAGCAGCCTGAGCGTCTCTTGGTCCCGGTGGAATCATCAAGCATCTGTGTGATGGAAATGCAAGCCGTCTTTAAAAACAATCTTGTGGATCTCTGTCTGTGGAGATGGAAGGAACCTGCCATCTGTGTTTGAATTAAAAAGGTAAGTCATACAAGAGCAAACATCCTGCTTTCCTATGTATGTGAGACTGCCTGTGTGTGTGTGTGTGTGTGTGTGTGTGTGTCCTAACCCTAGAAGAACGGAAAGGAAGCCTGTTCAGTGAGATGACAAATGCAATATGGCAGGACTGCTGGCTTTCCCCCAACAATCATTCTCCCTTCGCCTTTAGCAGAAGAACCCACAACTTTCAGCTGAGCCCATGGCTTACCTTAATATAGACCATATATCCTAGCTTCTCTCGAAGCCAAATGCAGCCACGTTACCAACGGGAGATAGAAAGAAAGGACATATTGCAAGTGGCAAGCACCTTCTTCATCCCTGCTTCCATCCTGCAGGCTGGAACGCAGTGGTGATGGCTGGAGCTCCGGCTGCCATTCTGGACCAGAAGGTCACAGAAGGATTGTGTCTCCAGGGTGATGGTTCAGGGAATGGTAACAGGCTTCAGTCTTTGAAGGCTTTGTAAGAAGGCTTTGTAAGCGCCCATCCGCTCCTAGACTTTCACATGAAAGAGAAACCAGTTTCTATCTTGTTGAAACCACCAGTGTTTGGGGAGGTTGTCTGCTACGCAGCCAAACCTAACCCCGACCCCTCCAAGTAGTTCCTTTAGCTGGCAAGATCTCTGGGGATTTAATTATCTGTTTAAGTTGTTTTTTGGTTCTCTTAAGTTTGTACTTTGAACATTTATGCATCATTCGTATGGGTTTAAAAAAAAGAAAACCCTTCATTTTGAAGCAATTAAGGAAGAGATAAAGCAGACGCATCCACTTACAATGTACCAAGCTGTGTCCTAAAACCTTCCCGTGAACATCTCATTTTGTCCTTGCAGCAGCCCTACGGGGAGTGTCATTGTCTCCGGCTCCCAGAAGGGAAGCTGACATGGAAGAGAGCTTGTGTCGCTTGTCCCAGTGCCTCTGCTCATCAGCCACAGCACGCAGGCAGCCTGGCCACGGAGTCCATGACCATGAGCACGACTCCGCCTGCCACCGAGGCCCTCCAGCTGCAGAGGCTACACCATCCCCACCCCACCTTCTCCTCTCCCACCATCTAAGGGTCCTCCCTGGAGCTGCCCTGGAGGGCACCTGGGGTGACCTTGCTCTAGATGCCGAGGCTCAGGGGCTGGGGCGTGGGGGTTTGCAGGGCTCTTTCTTCTCCTTGTGCATTCCACAAACAGTCGTGAGTGCCCACCAAGGGCCTGGCTCTGTGTCTGGTGACACAGCCCAGGAAATCAGAGACACCTGCCTTGGGAAGTAACCCATGATCTGGGATCCGAGGCCAGAATAGGAGTCAGCTAAGTGGGAGGTAGGAATGGATATGTTAACCAGAGGCAATGGTGTGTGCAAAGGCCCTGTGGCAAGAAGAATTCGCTGGGCACGCCCACAAGCCTCCTGTCATTCCAGGCCCACCACAGCCTGCCTTCCCCCAGCCCATTGGCTCTGCAGATGACTGAAGGTGAGAGAAACAGCAAAGGGGCTCCTGACACTATTGTCCTTCACTTTGGCCACCACAGATGGTAAGGGCCCCGCCTCAAACTCTCTGTCCTGCTAGAGTCCAGAGCTCCCCAGTAGGGACCCCAATTCCTGCCTTTGAGACCTCGGATTGAGGCTTCTTTTGGGGGCCTTGGGCATGACCTGGGCGCCCTTTGGCCTGAGTGCCACTCAATCTAGATTCCTGTTTTGAAATGTCACTCACATATGTCACCCCTATCTTGTTCCAGTTCAACTCTACCATCAAATACATCCTCCTCCTAATGGAGCTATGCTGTCCCGATTGCTCTGGCCCATGCTCTCCCTCTGCATCCCTCGCAGGCTCCCTGGTGCCCTCAGTCTGAGCTGTGGGCCTCTGCTGCCTCAGAGGGTAGGAGCAGAGCACTTGTCCCACATGTGGCCTCTCCTGTCAGGTTTCCCTGAATCTCAGATGTCCACCAGCCCCCAAGGGAGGGGGCGAGATTCTCAGTCTGCACACTCAGCAGCAGTTTCAAAAGAGTTTGTTTTACTTTCAAAATTGTATCGAGCGTCCGGATGACCGGTGGGTCTGGGGCCAGAGCAGAGAGAAGAGCTATGACCACTGGGCATGCCGAGTCGACCTCACGGGCGGACAGTGCCCGCGGAGCTGGGCCGGGTCCCAGCATCAGGCAGCGCCCCTGGCCGGTCCACCCCAGTGGAGGGCAGCAGAGGCTGAGCGTCTGGGCCTCCAATGGGTTCCACTCATCCTGGGCTGTCGCTGTGGAAGCAGGGGTGACTCACTATGTGCCCTGTCCGCACCTCACCCTCGGGGGCTCTCTTGGACAGACCTCCTCCCTCCGTCCTCCCAACCCAGCACAGACTTCCTGGGGCAGTTCCTGTGTCTTGAGGGCATACACACTCCAGCCACGTGTCTCCCAACAGCCCTCGATACTATGACTTCACGAGTGAGGGAGCTGATTGACGACATGCCTGGAGCCCAATATCCCTCCCTTCCTCCCTATTCTGCAGCAGTCAAGTAACAGAAGGCTGACCTGGGCACATGGGCTACATTTCCCAGACTCCCTTGCAACAAATCATGGCCACGGATAAGTTCTGACCAAGACGATGTGAAGAAATGTGTCCTCCCCTTCGCCTTCCCCATCTGGGGCCTGACGGAGAAGCCACTGGCCAAGGACAGCTGAACAGAGGAGGTAAGGGAGCCCACATGGCCCTGGGCTACTTATCTGGCCTTTTCAGGGAAATTAATTTGGAGATCGAGCCACTGTATGATCTGGTGTGCTTGTTACGCAGCTGTATACTGACAAATACAGGGCTGCTGAGGACACATGTTGGGACACTTGCATCTTTCAACACCATGTGGTCCACTTTTGGTTTTGGGACTTTGGCAGAGGGATCCTGAGGTGTCTTGCCAAGAAAGTGAGCCTGCTACAGGCTGTCACACACCATGACTTGCCTGGCTCTGGGCTCTCTGTACCCAGCCCAGGACCTGGCCCCAGGCAGGAGACTGGCATGGCCTGGGAGCCCCAGAGTGTGGAGCTGAGGGAAGAAACCAATGTTTACCGGGTGCTGAGAGATGCACGGGACTGGGCCAGGCACTTCTCTGTGTGGTCTTGATTCATTTTTAAAATTTTATTAGGTATGATCACTTATATATTCATGGATTTAGTTATGCACAAAGGGTAAGACATTGGGCACTTTCTAAATTGTCCATGTTCTCTGATCTTGGACAAGTTTACTGTGGTATAACTCACACACCCTACAATGGACCCATTTGAAGTGTGCGATTCAGTGGTGTCTAGTAAATTCACAGCCGTGCCTCCGTCCCCACAGCCAACGTTAGAACATTTTCAAGACAACCAAGGAAACGATACCCTCCTTAGCCCCACCCCCAAGATTCCCCAGTGTCCCACCCACTCCCACGCCCTGGCAACAACAGGTCTCCTTCTCAGTCTGTGAACTTGTCTATCTGGACATCCCATATCAGTGGAATCATATAGTATGTGGTCTTCTCGCCCAGCATAACATGTTCGAGGCTTGTGTTTGCTGTGGCGTAGATCAGGGTCAGTAAGTCGTTTTTTAGAGCTTGATATTATTCTCTTGTGTGGACACGACACATTCTCTCTATCCATTTGCCGGCTGGCGGGCATTCAGATTGTTTTCACTCTTGGGCTGTTATGAGCACTTACACACACACGTGTGTGTGGACGTATGTGTTCACTGAGCGCTTACACACACGCGTGTGTGTGGACGTATGTGTTCACTGAGTGCTTACACACACGCATGTGTGTGTGGACATATGTGTTCACTGAGCACTTACACACACGCGTGTGTGTGGACGCATGTGTTCACTTCTCTTGGGTCAGTCTCCAGGTGTGGAACTGCTGGGTCCCATGGCAGCCCTATGTCTCGCCAATTAGATTTACTTTTGCACCTGGACTGTGAAGGTGGCGCCCAGGCCTGGTGGCCTTGGCCCTGACCCTGGGCGGCTCCAAGCCTACCTTTGCTCATCAGTGACATGGGGGTGGGGATGACAGCCGCCATGTTGTGGAGGGGTTCTGTGGTTCTGACCTGGCACATGGGGGTTCTCGCTGAAGGACAATCTTTCTCTTCAGGATGAGAAAGGGCAGGGGGGATGGGACAGAAAGAGGCATCAAGAGTCATACACACCCCACCCCTCAACATTATCCTGAAGTTTGCCTCTTTATTCCCATGGGTCTGGTCTGGGGCTGTGCAGAGCTGCCCACCAACTCCTGCCTCCCCATCTCAACCCCAAGCCTCTACCCTATGGCCATGGGTTACCTGTTGGGGGGCCACAGAGCCCTCAACTCTCACCCATGCCAATGACAGAGGCTGGGCCTGGCTGGCAACAGCCACGGGTTTTTTCTGAGGGGAGTAGCTGAGCCCCGCCCATCAGGGACTCTGTCCTTCCCCCACCCCCAGCTCACCCGCCCCTCTCCATGATTCCAAGTGACCTTAGCCCCGCTGCGACATTGGAAGGGACCTCGGCCTGTGTGGGTGGCAATTGGTATGTGAACCCAAGGCCTTCGGCACCTCTCAAAGGCCCGCGTGGCCCCTGGACACCTCTGGTGGCCCTGCCGCAACCTGGCCACCTCAAGCATACCTGGGGCCAGCAGTGCCATGCTCCTCACCTGGGTCATCCAACGTCATCCCCACTTGAGCCCTGTGAGGCAGGTACTGTCATCATTCCCACTTTGCAGATGGGGGAACCAAGGCACAAAAAAGGGAGGAAATCTTCTCTAGGTCCCATGTGGGAGAATTCAAACCCCAGACTGGCCTTCACCACTCACAACACCTCCCAGAACCAGACCCCCAAGCACCCTGGGGCCACACAGCTGAGTACCTGAAGACCAGCTGATCACCCCACCACCCTAGACAGCCCTGGATGCCCTGGGGAGGGAGAGCCCCACGGAGCCCAGACAGCACCCAGGCATCTGGGCAGTGCCTGGGGCTTCACCCGCCAGCCCTCATTCTGGAACTGCCCTGTGCTGGGAGAATGTCAGGGTAAGCTAAAGGTCTGTGCCCAGAGGACAAGGCCCAAGGAGCTCCAGGGCAGGGGGCCCCCAAAGACTGCAATGAGAATGGTGCCCTTAGAGTTGTGCAGTGCACAACCTGCACACTCACAGTACTGGCCTGGAGAGGACCCAGGGCTGACATGAGGGCCATTGGGCTAGGAGTCATAACCAGCCCCTGGAGAGAAGTGCTGCTACCTTGGTCTTCTCGATGCTCTCAGGGCTTTATGCCCCCACTGGGCTGACCAGGAGCTGGAACTAGGGAGGGGCACAGGACAGGCGGGAGGTGGCTCCCACCATGCTCTTCTCTGATACTCAGGGTGAGGTGGGCTGTGAAGTAACACTGTAGTAATTCTAATTGGCCTTAGAAAGATTAGGTGTATATACTACAATTCCTAGAGTAACCACATGCACAGGAAGAAATATAGCCAGAAAACCAATAGGTCAACTAAATATATGTAATATATATATAATATATATTATATATCCTATGGTATATATAATATATATTATAAATATTTATATAATATATATATATAAACATCAAATAATCCAAAGGCATGCAGAGAACAAACAAAGAAAGAAAAAGTAGAATGGACCAGGGTTAATCATTAATATTCTAAAAACACCAATTAAGAGATTGACAATAATGGATAAAAACAGCCAGACTCAATAATGTGCTGCCTACAAGAGATTCATTTTAAATATAAAGACACAGATAGTTGAAAGTAAATAAGTTGAAGAAGATACACCATGAAAATAATAGCATCAGGTAGCTGGGTGGATATAGTAATATTAATTAAAATTTATACTAATGATAAACTTCAAGACAGAAAGTATTATTGGAGATAAAGGAGACATTTGTTATAATAGAAGGGTTGATTAATCAGGAGGATGTGACAGTGATTGATTTTTATGTGCCTAATAATAAGGCCTCAAAAGGCATGAAGCAAAATTGACAAGATCAAGGAAGAAAGAAACAATTTCACAATCATAAAAGGGAGATTTTAACACCCCTCCCTCAGCAATCAATAGAACAAATATACAAAAAAAAATCAGTAAAGACATGGAAGGTACAAGCAACACTATTAGTCACTTTGATCTAATGATATTTATAGAACACTACACCCAGTAACTGAAAAGTACATATTCTTTTCAAGTGCACTTTTGTGAAGATAAACCATTCGCTGGGCCATAAATCAAGTCCCAGCAAATTTTAAAGCTAGAAATCACAGAGCGTGTTCTCTGGCAACAACTGAATCTTGTTAGAAATTAATAACGAGACATCTAGGAAAATCCTAAGTATCAATGATTCATGAATCTACAAATGACTCATGAATTAAAAATGGAATCACAAGAAGTATTAGAAAATAATTTGAATTGAGTGACAATGGAAATATATCAAAATCTGTGGGATGTAGCAAAAAGAGTGCTTATAAGGAAACTTAGATCTTTAAACACTTATCTCAGAAAACAAAAGCAACTTAAAATCAATGACCCAAAGATCCAGTTTGGGTAGCTAGGAAAGGAAGAACAAAATAAATCCAAATGAAGAAGGAAGGAAATAATAACAAGAGGAGCGGGGAACAATAAAACAGAAAACAGACAGCCAAAATGTGGGGTGGGGGAGCCAAAAACTGATTCTTTGAGAAAATCAACAAAATTCATGAACTCCTACTGAAGTAAATAAGAGAGAGGAATAGAGAGAGGGAGAGACAGAGAGACAGAGAACACAAATATCATTACTAATA